GATTCAACAGTCTGTAAAAATTGCAAACTACAGACTCCAACAGTCTGTAAAAATTGCAAACTACAGACTCCAACAGTCTGTAAAAATTGCAAACTACAGACTCCAACGCTCTCTAAAAATTGCAAACTACAGACTCCAACGGTCTGTAAAAATTGCAAACTACAGACTCCAACGGTCTGTAAAAATTGCAAACTACAGACTCCAACGGTCTGTAAAAATTGCAAACTACAGACTCCAACAGTCTGTAAAAATTGCAAACTACAGACTCCAACGCTCTGTAAAAATTGCAAACTACAGGCTCAAACGCTCTCTAAAAATTGCAAACTACAGACTCCAACAGTCTGTAAAAATTGCAAACTACAGACTCCAACGCTCTGTAAAAATTGCAAACTACAGACTCCAACGCTCTGTAAAAATTGCAAACTACAGGCTCAAACGCTCTCTAAAAATTGCAAACTACAGACTCCAACAGTCTGTAAAAATTGCAAACTACAGACTCCAACAGTCTGTAAAAATTGCAAACTACAGACTCCAACAGTCTGTAAAAATTGCAAACTACAGACTCCAACGCTCTGTAAAAATTGCAAACTACAGACTCCAACGGTCTGTAAAAATTGCAAACTACAGACTCCAACGGTCTGTAAAAATTGCAAACTACAGACTCCAACGCTCTGTAAAAATTGCAAACTACAGGCTCAAACGCTCTGTAAAAATTGCAAACTACAGACTCCAACAGTCTGTAAAAATTGCAAACTACAGACTCCAACGCTCTGTAAAAATTGCAAACTACAGGCTCAAACGCTCTCTAAAAATTGCAAACTACAGACTCCAACAGTCTGTAAAAATTGCAAACTACAGACTCCAACGCTCTGTAAAAATTGCAAACTACAGGCTCAAACGCTCTCTAAAAATTGCAAATTACAGACTCCAACAGTCTGTAAAAATTGCAAACTACAGACTCCAACAGTCTGTAAAAATTGCAAACTACAGACTCCAACAGGCTGTAAAAATTGCAAACTACAGACTCCAACAGTCTGTAAAAATTGCAAACTACAGACTCCAACGCTCTCTAAAAATTGCAAACTACAGACTCCAACGGTCTGTAAAAATTGCAAACTACAGACTCCAACGCTCTCTAAAAATTGCAAATTACAGACTCGAACGGAACTACAGACTCCAACGCTCTGTAAAAATTGCAAACTACAGGCTCAAACGCTCTCTAAAAATTGCAAACTACAGACTCCAACAGTCTGTAAAAATTGCAAACTACAGACTCAACAGTCTGTAAAAATTCAAACTACAGACTCCAACAGTCGTAA